CCTGGGGGCATTGTTGTTGTTGCATATTTACTTTTGGGACTACGAGATGGTATCTCGGGAGTGCCTTTGTTGACACCCTCTGTGGTTGCATTTTTCTTCGGTTATTTTTGTATTTCCGTGATAGGTAAATCGTTGTGTTCTTCTGTGATGTAATATTTAATTCTATTATGTGTTTGTACTCCTTGTTGTAATGTGTTCGATTTGGCTCTTGTACGAGACTCTGAGGATTTGTGGTTTTAGTCTTTACTAGTTTTCAAGGTTAAGTTATTTTGAATAAAAGAAATTGATGTGTGCTTTAGTTCTTATAGGTTTTACATCCAAATCAGCAACTATCGGGTGTTTCATTTTAATTGAAATGTTATTTTCTTCACCCCAATGATTTCTAAAATAAATTTATTTCTTTGTTGGTTTTTCTTACTTGATTTAAAAATTTTAAACTTACTTTATCGGAAATAAATTGATCATGTGGATCTTATATACATTGAGGATATTGGCATGTGAATTGTCTGTGCAATTGTGATATGAACTGAGGGCACGAGGTGTCGGAAAAATATGATAATTTAATTATGGGCACGAAGTGCCGTGGAGATATAAAAATAGGCTGAGACCTGTATTTTTATGATTATGAAATGAGGTGTCACATGGTGACTTTTTAATTGAAGAATTATATTCAAAATATTTATTTGGAAGGATTTTTATTTAGAAAGTATTATATGAAAGAATTATATTTGAGGAAAATTATATTTGAAGGAGAGTCATTTGGTAGAATTATATGTGAAGGACATTTATTTGAAGAATTTGATTTAATTGGGTGTACTTGTATTTATTATTTATTGAGTGAAATTAAATGGTATTTTGTTGTCTTGCTGTGCATATCACTGGTTGTTTCATGTTGCCATATTGTTATTTATTTCCTATTATTTTGTATATTATATTGCACAGGTTAGTCTTGATACTTATTGGGTACCGACAGGGGCTTACTTGTACTACACTTCTGCATATTTTTGTGGAGAGCCAGGTATTGAAGATAACGGACTTGAGCAGAGTTAAAGCGGAATCGTAAGGATTCAAGGTAGAGCTTCTTGGTCGCCGTAGTCCCTTGGATTCTTTTTATTTCATTGTACTGTTAACTTGTAATAAAAAAGTATTGTATATTCGGTCCTCGCGATCATTCTATGTATTCAGTTAGATTTCGTCACTCAGTACTACCAGTCTTGGGAGGTTGTATATTTTTAATTATTCCGCTGTTAGTTTTGGTTACTTATAAAAAAAAATGGCTTCAAAATGTATTTGAAATCGCCATCATGACACATGTGGTGGGATTTTGGGTCGTGATAGTAGGACAAGATTAAATATAATTTATCTTGATTATGAGAATGGTTAAATTCCGACTTATTGTGCTAGTATATTTTATATGTATTAACGAACCAAGTAGAGATAAGTGTTTTATACCAAATAAATAAAATAAATTATCTAGCCATTAAATGTACTTTTACTCTTAATTTTGATATAATTATTATTAAATGTATATATTCTTATTATTGTTTAAATTTATTAAAGGCGAATTAAAAGGCATGTATTCTCTCTCGGCGCACGTTTACTAACCTGCGCCGGCCATGGGGAAGAGGGCACGCATGCCATCGCAAAAAGCTCTTCAAGCTCAGGCTACGACTATACAAGGACGAGGGCAGAAGAACAAGGCAGCTATAACAATTCAGGAAGAGATTCGAATTGGATCGAAAATTAATGAAATAGTAACTCGTCAAAAAAAGAGTGAACAAATGTACCAAGAGCAAGCTCAAAAACTGTGGAATAATGTTATGCAAGCTTCAATAAGTGTTGTTAGTCAAACCCCGACAAGCAGTGGGAGGAAATCATGGGCATATATGGTGGATGAAGAGAAAAGAGTAGACGCAGTGAGAAAGCCATCGATTTGGGACAATTTTGACATCTCAAAGATATCAAATGCCGGATTCAAATTGGAGTATGTTGCTCCTTCCATGAATGGTGAGTTGCCCATCATTGATATTGAATTGGAAGATGAAATTGAGTATTGGAAGACGGCGGTGGTGTGTTATAATCTAGGTCCACACCCACCGTTTTCTGCGTTACAGGGGTTTATCCAAAGGATATGGGTAAAGCATGAAATTAATAAAATTGCCATGCTAAAAAATAGAATTGTCCTAGTCCGATTTGGCTCTGAGGTGGGGGAAAATGATGTAATTCATGGGGAAATTTACCATTTTGATAACAAACCCTTAATTATGAAAGTTTGGAACTCTGAAATGGACTTTACAAGAGATGAGTTGTATATAGTACCAATTTGGATAAAATTTCCTAGGCTTGATTTCAAATATTGGATCCCTAAGGGTTTGAATAAGATAGGAAGTTTGGTTGGAAAACCACTAATGGTTGATCAAAATACAAAGAGAAAGTCTGGATCGAACTTTTCTAGACTATTGGTCGAGGAGGAAATTAAAGCAAACCTATTAGACTCTGTAACTTTCAGGAATGAAAGAGGGAATCTGGTGGAGCAGAAGGTGGTGTGCGATTGGAAGCATACCTTATGCAAGTATTGCGATAAATATGGGCATGATGACATCAATTTCATGAAGAGGAAGGGCCAGCACAATGCAACACATGAGAAGAATGGGAAAGTCATAAGTGATGAGAATGCAGTTCAACATGTACCATTGGTGAAGAAAGGGAATGGAACAAATGCAAATTAAGGGAATGTGATAGAACAAAGAACTAAGGGAAGTGTATGGATTACTCCCCAGAGAATTGGGCGTAACCAAGGCAAGCAACATCAACAAACAGGAAACTATCATCAACAGAAGGTGGTCAGTTCAAACACATTTCAGGTACTTAACATAGAGAGTTCCATCAATGATGTTACTAATGTAGGTAATCTGAACAACAGTGATAAGCAACTAAGAAGTGATGTCAATGTGGGTAGTCAAAAGGTTCCCAGTCAAGGGAATGGTTAGTTGTCTAAGCTGGAATGTAAGAGGGCTTAACAGCCCAAATAAGCAAAAGAAAGTTAAATTCGTTTGCAATAATAAGAGAGTGGGTTTAGTAGGATTACCAGAAACAAAAACAAAGAGTAACAAGATTGAAATTATGGCAGAAAAAATGTTTGGAGGATGGCCTTATATTACTAATCTAGCAGCACATTGTAATGGGAGAATATGGATTATAGGGAGACCAGATTACTACACTGTAGTATCACTAGTGACAACAACTCAGATTGTCATATGTGTTGTGCATAAAATCTCTTTGAAACCAGACATTGTCATGTCTTTTGTGTATGCATTTAACATACAAGAGGACATAAATGAGCTATGGGATATACTAATAAACTATAACACAACATGCAAACAACCGTGGATAATTGCAGGGGACTTCAATTCAGTGTTGAATACAGATGATAGAGTGGGAGAAAATCCAATAACATGGTCAGAAATTGTAGACTTCCACCACTTTATAGACACTTGTTGATTGATCGAGCTTTCTCGTGTGGGGTTGAGGTACACTTGTAATGACAGAAGTAGTAGTGGACAGAGGATTTTTTAAAAAATTGATTGAGTTTTCATTAACAATGAGTGGTTAGATATAATACCACTAAGTAAAGTAAATTTCCTCCCTGAAGGTATAAGCGATCATAGTCCAGTAAAGATCACATTTCTAGATGAGAAGCCAAGGTTTACGAAATCTTTTCAATTATGCAATATCTGGGCTATACATCATCAATTTAAAGACAAGGTAGAAGCAGGGTGGAATATACAGATTCAAGGGCGCAACATGTTACAAGTTGTTAGAAGACTGAAGCTGCTGTAAAGAGATCTAAAGGAATTAAATACTAAGGCCTTTAAAAACATCCGTAGTGACTCAACAATAGACAATAAGGCTCTAAGGCAAGCACATGAGTTTCTACATTCAGATCCATTGAATGTAGTTTATTAGGAATTGGAGAAGGAGAAGTACAATAAGTTGAGGCAATCCTCTTATATGGCTGAGATGCACTTGCAACAGAAAAGCAAGGATACATTGGTGAAACTTGGTGATTATAACACCAAGTACTTTTGCTCAATGATCAAACATCAAAGACTGAAGCAGGATACTACTCAATTGAAGGATGCAACAGGCAACTGGCAAACTGATCCTGATATTATAGCTTCCATATTTGTAGACTATTACAAGAAACTACTAGGGAGGAAGAGCAATCACAAAATTAAAGCATTTACTAGTATTCTGAGAAATGGTCCAGTACTGGATACCACACATCAACTGAAATTGTTGGAGCCATACACTGAAAAGGAGGTCAAACATGCCATATTTCTAATTGACCAGAAAAAGAGTCGAGGCCCTAATGGTTATGATAGTGGATATTGCATGGGATATTGCAGGAAAAGACATCACTGAAGCTATATTGGAATTCTTTCGGAATGGCAAACTGTTGAAACAAATAAACTCTACAAATATAGCTTTGATTCCAAAGACTACAGTACCTGAAAATGCAAGTCAATATAGGCCTATAGCTTGCTGCAATGTCCTATATAAGGGTATATCAAAGATGATTTATAATAGACTTAAAGAGGCAATTAGTGTAATTGTGGCTGATAAGCAGTCTACCTTTGTACGAGGGAGATCCATGGTACACAATGTTTTGATATGCCATGACTTATTGAGGCACTATGGTAGGAAGACCACACCAAGATGTTTGATAAAAATTGATCTTAGAAAAGCCTACGAGATGGTAAGTTGGGAATTCTTGAAGAAAGTCCTAAAAGGCTTTGGTTTTCCTGAAAGATTTATACATACAGTGATAACATGTGTGACTTCTCCCATATTTACCATCAAAGTAAATGGGAAAGGTCATGGTTACTTTGAAGGAAGAAGAGGACTTAGGCAGGGGATCCAATGTCTCCCCTCTTGTTTGTCCTTGTCATGGAATACTTGTCAAGAGTTCTAAAATGCATGTGTAGTCTCCCTGACTTTGCATTTCATCATATGTGTGAGCAACTTCAGCTCTCACATTTAATATTTACAGATGATCTTATGATCTTCTGCAAAGCAAATTCTAGTTCTGTTAAAAGAGTTATGGAAGCCTTGGCCAATTTCAGTGATGTATATGGGCTGGTTGCTAACATGGAGAAGTCAAGTATCTTTATGGCTGGGATTGATGACCAAACCAGAGATCAATTGCTGGATATAACACAATTTACGCAGGGCACCTTTCCAATCAAATATCTTGGTTTGCCTTTATCTTCCAAGAAATGGAACAAGATGGAATGTCAGCAATTAGTGGATAAAATCACTAGTAGGATCACTACTGTTTATTCAAAGAAGCTATCCTGTGCTGGGAGACTACAAATCATAGTTGCAGTCTTATTTTCAATCCACAACTTCTGGGGTTCTGCCTTCATCTTGCCTCAAAGTATTCTTTAAGAAGTGGATAAGAAGTGTAGGGAATATTTGTGGGGTGGTACAGAAGAAATAAAGAAGATCTCATTGGTTGCATGGCAAAAGTGTGTAGGCCAAGAAAATATGGTGGGATGAATATCAAGAATTGTCGGAGCTGGAACATGGCATCAATGGGATAATTGTTATGGCAATTAGCGGAGAAAAAAGATACATATGTGTGTAATGGGTGCATGGCATCTATATGAAGACCAACACTAACATTTTGATGCATAAACCTCCTCTAGACAGCAGCTGGTATTGGAGGAAGATAAATGCACTAAAGGAAACCATGCAAGATTGGTACATACAGGGCAGATACAGATTGACACCAAATGGGTAATACTCGATCACTAGCTCCTACAATGCAATGTTGGGGCAGCAGGAAAGATTGAAGACTGCTGAGTTGATCTAGTTATCACTAGCTCAACCAAAACACAGGTTTGTGGTTTGGTTAGCCGTACATGACAGATTGCTCACTAAAGCAAGGATGAGACACCTTCATATTCCAGTTGCAGATGAAATATGTTGCCTCTGTGACAAACAAGCTATGGAGACTTTCATGCACTTATTTGCAGATTGTGATTGGATAAGGAATGTGCGAGAAGGTATCCAACAATGGACATGAATCACCATAAGAAAAGGATAAGTTCATGCTGTTCTTGAAGAGATTAAGAGGAGGCAATGGAAACAGTTCCAAAAAGGAACTAATAGCAGCAATTTGGGAAGCAGTGATATACCATGTATGGAGAGCAAGGAATTAGAAAATCTTTAGAGGAACAATTGTAAATACTGAGATAGTGCTGGTACAAATTAAAAGAGAGACCATAGATAGACTAGAAAGATTTCAGAACTCTAGGAAAGCCAAATACTGCCTTAGTTTAATGCACATAATACATTGTAATTAGAAGTTACTTGATTGTCGGAGGCCTATCCTTCCTGGATGAGGAAAATGGGTGCTCTTTAGGTGTACTGTTTTGTGAGTTAATGGTATGATTTATATTTTTACCAAAAAATAAAATAAAATATTAAAGGCAAGATTCTTTCGTGGATTAATATGCCTAGTAAATTGGATAGCAATAATGTACATTGGCGAAATAATAATTACTTGATGTAATTCATGTCTCTATTTAAAGATTGATGATACACATTTATGAGAGCTTATGAGTTTTTATGTGTAAACCCGGCCGATGAATTTTATATCCCATACGTGAAATAAGTTAAGCGGAAGTCTAAAGAAAATTAATAATCAATAAATTAAGTTGTCAATAATTTAATTTAATTGATTAGTATCTAAATCTTAACATGAGAAGTTAAATAAGATTTAATAGATAAATTTCAAAATTGAATAAAGAGTGCAATTACGAGCTTTTAGTGGAATAATTCGTAATTTATTTTGGTGAAGGGAAGTGTTGTAAAATTTATGCCAACACTTAGGGAGTAGGTGTCTTTTGGGGGAAATTTTGAGGGGAAGATTTTGGAGGGAAGTGTTGTAAAATTTCTTTATCTTCCTTTAATTATATTCTAGTGACTAGTGATAAAAAAATAATTTAACACAGAGATAAAAAGATGTAGAGAAAATTTGTCAACATTAGTTGTAAATGTCGCCGCATTTTTCACATTTTGTATCATAGGCCCTTGTTTTTATAATATTTTTGTTATAAAGATAAATTTTTCACTATATCATTCGTTAACTCGAACCTCTAACCTACTGTTTAGTGGCAAATATAATCTACCATGAGATAATGTCCGGAAGTAAGAGTTCATATAAAGGGATTCATAGAGTATATCATACCTAGCATTTCAACTTGTGACCTAAGACTATTTCTGAACCCTCGTTAATATTTCATTAGAATGTTTTCTTATGTTAAGGAATTTAACCAATTCTATGTAATAAAAAATTTATTTATATCCTTTTTATGCAATTAATTTCCCCACAAAGTTAATATATTCCATTTAAACCCTTGAACCCCTTTAGCTCCGCCACTACAGTCTACAGTATTATAGGATAGACATCACTCTCCATCTGCCCCATTATATTGGACATATTCAGCATACTACGCTGACGACAACCAAATTGGTAAGTTGAGGATGCAATTTGTAATTTACAAAGTATTGCATAATTGATATATGACTATATGTCATTATAGTAATATAATACTCCAGGCTGCCATTCAAAAAGAATTTATGCAATAATTTCAGTAATTGCTAGTTACAAGTTAGTCGCCACGTTTGACAACTCATTTTCTAATTTGCCAATTAATAATATATAGTCGGCTCTGTTTGATAAAGACTACTACATCCTCCGTTTTAGTTTATGTGATATTATTATTTTTTAAATTGTTTAAAAAATAATGACATATTTTTATATCTGAAAAACACTTCAACTTTAAATCTTTTCAACTTTAAATCTTTTACCCCGATAAAAAAATTTATAGTCACACAAATATTTAAAAATTACAAAATTCAAAAGTATTCTTTTCTTACTTAATTTTATTTCATAGTAAATTATGTCACACAAATTAAAGCGATTATCTGACACCATTGATAGATGATGGACCTTCCACATTTAATTGCATCTCCAATATCTAGAGGGTATACCATTAATGTCAGCACCTCATTCATGTTCCTTAAGGAGGAGCATCAATCTTTAATTTCTGTTTTCAGTAAGTGGGTACATAGTGTATTATTCTATTATTTTTTTTGCTATATTGGAAAATAGTAAATAGGAATATTAAAATCTTTAAGCTATATTGCTAAGATCAATCAAGAGCAAAAACTCCATTTCCTTGATCGCATTTTCTCATACAAACAGATCTTTATGTCTATGATTTTCATTTTATCAAAAATAAAAAATTTCACATTTGTTTGTCTCTACTGACGTGTGTAATATTCGCCTTGTTGGTTCTCAGTAAATATTTATCTTCAATAATCGCCCAAAGAGGGTGATACAGTATGTCCTTTCTGTGCCTATAAATAAAGGACATTTTCTTCTCGTTCCATCCAAGCGTTTGCTTTCAATCCTTTATCCATTGATCCATTCCACACTCTGTCATAGAAAAAATTTCCAATGAACTTGCAGCTACTCTACTCGCTTATCATCTTTTGTGCGAGTAGATTTCTATACAGTTTTGTTTTTATCTTTCACAATTTATTTAGTTTTCATCCTTATCAAGAATTCATTTCATTCCGAAAATACAGTAACATACTTCCTAAATCGCCGTTGCTTTTAAAAGAGTTTTCAAGAAGGTTATGATTATCGGGGGATACTTCAATCAACTTACTTAATATAATATATTTGTTTACCCGAAAAACGGATAGAGTTAAATTTATACGTAGTTCTAAGGGTATGTGGTATAACTTGACACAAATCGTAAGAATGAATAGAAATATCGAGTGTTGACCGTAGAGAATAAAAAATAAGCAAAGATGGAAAGAAGATGATTTATGGATTAAACAAAATGAATTAATCTATGAAGCTAAAAAGGAACTCTTCAATATGGGAGTGTATAATATCTCAGTTACAATGTATGCCAAACTTGATTTCTTACAGAAATAATAACCATGCCCTTTATAGTGGGGGATCCTACTTTAGATATAATTAAAAATATATAGTGAGAGACCCATGATAAATCAGTTTTTTCATAATTCCTGCCAAGATTCTCTCCTCTAGTGCGGTTGCAACGACTCTTGTCTATGAGCTCGATATTGACTTGAGCTCGATATCGACTCGAACTCTCGATCTTGACTCGAGCTCGATTCTGATTCGGAGCCTTGTATTGATTCGGGGACAGTGTTGGTCGGTCTCTGCCTCATAAGCTCGATAACTTCACTTCGCATTATAGTTCGATTTTGGTTCGAGTTCGATAATGATATCGAGCTCGACATGAATCGGTCCCTAGGGCTCGAAGTTTGTTGACCTGACTTCGGACCTCAACCTGATATTATGAAGATGCTCTTCGATCCAATGCATTACCATTTCGACCAATTCGTACGAAGGACTAACCGGTTTTGACCGTATACAGATAGTCCTCTCGTTTCTCGGGAAGGATGTAGCGAGAAACGACATGATTTTTCAACGGTACGATTAGATATATACTGATGTTTGCATCGAGTCCGATCATGACGTGCGTGATAGCTGTCCCATCGGTTCAGTTTACCGAGGTATTTAATGCGTGTCAGATGATGGTCGGCCATTATCAAAATTGAACCGCCATTGCTCAACCTATAAATAACCCTTTTTTCACTTTTAATCACTTTTACATCTCCAAACTCTAAATTTTCTAACTTCTTTCTCGCACCTTCTGAATTCATCTGCAAGTCTGTAAAATTTTCCTTCTGCGTTTTCTACTGCAAAATCTTTCTTTAACATACCATATCTTTGTTATCTCCTTCTATTTTCGATCTTTAAATTCAAAAATGGCAAAAACATCAAAAACTATTCCTCAGAAAGAAAAAGCTTCTTCTTCACAGCCTACCGCCGACAAAACACTGGTGGAGCCACGACTTGAGGAGTGCATTCCTGTGGCGTGTGTTCTTACCTCTGATTTTAAAGTCGACAAAGGCTCGTCGGTTCCCGACCGATGTGAGCCAGTATCGAGGTATATGTGTTCGATAACCGAGGGGAACCTCGAATAGCTAAAGAAAGATTGCAATTGGGAGAACAAAGAAATAGTAATCCCGTCTTCTGAAGAAGATATCACCACTTACGTGAAAGGGTTTTTAAATGTGTATACTTACCCTTTCACATTAGGTCCCCTCGACCCTGTTATTATTGATTTATGCCGTCAATACCAGATAATCCTAGGCCAGATTCATCCTTCTTTTTGGCGGATCGTTATTTTGATCCGTTACTTCATGAACAAAATCGAGGGGATGCCTTCCACCCTCGACCATCTCATTCGATTGTACTGCCCTCGCCTCATTCGATGCGGGTTAATAAAACTTCAGCGCTGGGCTACCAAGGTTCTGTTCTCGAGCATAGACAA